GGGGGTCACGCAATATGTTTTCCTCGTGATCCGGAAGTCGATGCTTGCCCTTCACCCCAAGCAGAAGCCCCATTGGGAAACGTTTTATAGACGAAACAGCAAGATGGCCACATGAATACTACTTTCAGAAAGAAGATCCTAGTCAGTGTGACAGACGTTGAAGAAGGCCATGTATCTGTATTGGCATCGGCTGGGTTTGTGAACCGGATCCCAAAATCAAGTCCCAATGTATATAATGCGTGGGGTGTCAGAATCACCGATTGCCATAGAATCATAGAGTTGGAAGAGACCTCGTGGGCTGTCCAGTCCAACCCCCTGCCAAGAAGCAGAAAGATTGCATTCAAAGCACCCCTGACATTCATCCTCATATTAAAAGCTTCCAAAGGAGCCTCCACCACACTCCGGGGCAGAGAGTTCCACTGCTGAACAGCTCTCACAGGAAGATCTTCCTAATGTTCACGTGGAATCTCCTTTCTTCTAGTTTGAAGCCATTGTTCTGTGTCCTAGTCTCCAGGGCAGCAGAAAACAAGCTTCCTCCCTCCTCCCCACATTCCTAAGCAAGAGCCCCCAGTGGCGCAAGGCAAACCCTTGTGCCGGGCAGGACTGAAGACCGTCAGGTCAGAGGTTCGAATCAGTGGAGAGCACAGATGAGCTCCCTCTGCCAGCTCTAGCTCCCCATGTGGTGACATGAGAGAAGCCTCCCACAAAGGTAGTAAAACATCAAAGCATCCGTCGTTCCCTGGGCAACGTCCTTGCAGATGGCCAATTCTCTTACACTAGAAGCGACTCCTGACACACACACACTCCCTAAAAGAACTCTTCGCCTTGTGCAATTGTGGAGCAGACCAAACAAATCCACATCTGTATGCTTGTCCACTATGCCCTGCCTCATGTACAGAGGAGGAATTGTTGGAGGCTACAGACAATGCTGTTGTTTGTTTTTTAAAATTGATTTTTATTAGGAAAATTTCACTGTATACAACAAGTATAAAAGGGGGGGGGGGGTTAGAATATACATAAAGAGTTAAAACCGGGAGGGGGGGAAAGGTATGAACAGGGTAGTGTGGGATTGACAGGGTAGGGGGAGGGGTGCCCTATCTGACATTCAGCTAAGTCTAGGGTCGGGGGTGGGGAGAGGGAAGGAGGGAAGGGACAAGAGGAAAGGTGGTTTATATAGGGGTTTGGCTTCCGATTCCTATATTCCGCGTTCTTGAATTCATTTCTTCTGGTCAGACTCGTTTCGTGGTTTTTCCCTTGTCACTCTTATTTATCTCTTGTATTTTGTTCTACTCTCATCTCTTTATGGTTCTAGTCCTCTCTCATAAATTCATTTAATGGACTCCAGTCTGTTCTCTTGAGAGGGCGTCCATATGAGTCTTTTAGTGCATAGGTTAGCATATCCATTTCTCTTATCTCTAGAACGTTTTCCATCCATTCTTCTTCGGTTGGTATTTCTTTTGATTTCCATTTCCTGGCATATACTAATCTTGCCGCTGTCGTGAGATAAGTGAGGAGTATGTCTTTGTTTGTGCTCAACTTCCATTCCTCCTTAAATATTCCTAGTAGGAAGCATTCTGCTTTCTCGTGGATCTTGATTTTGAGAATCTTTTCACAGGTTGCATTCACCTTTTTCCAAAAATTCTGGGCAATGGGGCATGACCACCATTGATGAAAAAGAGTTCCAATCTGGTTTTCGCATTTCCAACACTTGTTACAATTCTTTTTGTACATTTGTTCCAGTTTCTGGGGTGTCATGTACCAACGGTAGAGCTTTTTGTACCAGTTCTCTTTTAGTACTATGGAGTAAGTATATTTGATCTTCTTAGTCCATACTTGTTCCCACTCCTGAAGCATTATTGGTCTGCCGATGTTCTTTGCCCATTTTGCCATGCAGTCTTTAATTAATTCTGATTCTGTTGCCCCTTCTAATAATTTGTTGTAGATGGATGTTATGCTGTTGTTGTTGCCCGTTTTTGGTCAAAAGATATTTAGCCACCTGCGCTCCTTTTATTTTTATCAGTTTTACACTAATTTATGCAATGCTTTTGATATGAAATAAAAAGTTATCCTAGAAATATTTTTTTCTTTTGCCTGAGAGACTATGACTAGGCATTTCTAGATCCTTATGACTCATGAACAACTTCCCCTGGAAGCTGATCCTCAGTTTGGAGGATCAAATTCTAAAGAGAATATTTTAATCAAATCCGCAAAAGTCAAAACTGTAAATATGGAGTACCAGCACAAATCCTGAAATCACTGGGTTATCAGTCTGGAAGAATGAGCAGGCTCTGTTAGCCCACAGGTTCTTAGACCCTAGATCAGGGGTCCTCAAACTTTTTTTTAAACAGAGGGCCAGGTCACAGTCCCTCAAAGTGTTGGAAGGCCAGATTATAATTTGAAAAAAAACATGAATGAATTCCCATGTATACATCTTATTTCTAATGCAAAAAAAAA